GGCGGCAGCAGCGGCGGTGGCTCTAGCTCTAGCCTGAGGCGCCGCGCCGCAGCCATGGCCCTGGTGACCCTGCAACGCTCGCCCACGCCCAGCGCCGCCTCCTCGGCCAGCAACAGCGAGGTGAGCCCGGGGCCCTCTGCCCCAGACCGGTGGAGCCGCCACCGCACCAGGCCTGGGCCGCAGGGCTCCGCGCCCACGCTGCCAGGCCGGGGTCGCGAGTGTAGGGCGGGAGGGTGTCGGGGTTCGGCACGGAGCGGCTGCGAGGGTCCAGGACCTGGGAACCCCGCTGTGCGAGCCCGCCGGTGCAGCCGGACTGGAGTGACGGGGGTGAGACTGTGTGCGGGTGTGACCCCCATCTGGGGGGTGACCCCCATCTGGGGGTGACTGTATGTGACACTGCCTGTGGTTGTGGCCCGAATCTCAGAGTGACTGTGACACTGCGTGTGTGGTTGTGACTCCTCATCTAAGAGTGACTGTATCTGACACTGTGTGTGTTTGGGGTTCCTATTTGGGTGACTGAGACGCTGATTCTGAGGTGAACCTGTGACTGTTCTGTCCACCTTCTCCTGCATGCCTGATGTGTGTATGTGAGAGTATGTGATTTCGTGACCTCTGGGGACGGTGTTGTGTGATGCTGTGGGAGAGAGTTTGTCGGGGTGACTGAGTGTGTTAAGCTGTTGTTTCTGGGAGACCCTATGCCTCTGGAGTTCTGGCTGTAAATGTGTGTGGCTAGGTGGCATAGTGGTTAAGAGCTATGGCTGCTAAAGGTTGGCAGTTTGGATCCCCCAGGTGCTCCTTGGAAACCGTATTGGGAAGTTCTCCTCTGACCTGTAGGGTCACTATGAGTCGGAATCCAGTTGAGGACAACGGGTGCCTCTTGGGTGATGTGTAACAGTGTGACAGTGACTGAGTGTGCAGTGGACTCTGTGTGACCATGTGTCGTGTGTGTGTTGTGGCTGAGTCTGGGTTTTTCCGTTTTATAACATTTAGGACTGTATGTTTATGTGCATCTGGCCATTTGGCTGTGACCGATTTGGGGTTTTGGGGGTTGCATGGGTGCATTTGGGAACTGAGAGTGTGTCCCTTGATTGTAGTTGATCCTCCATTTCTCTGCACTGGTGTGGGTTTCTATGAGTCTGTCTGCCTGTGGGAATCCCTGGGTAGTGCAAACAGTTAATGCTCTCAGTTGCTAACCTAAAGGTCGGAGGTTTGAATGCATCCAGAGGGGCCTCAGAGAAAAGGCCTGGCGATCTGCTTTCAAGAAATCAGCCATTGAAGACCCAGTGGAGCACAGTTCTACTCTGACACACATGGGGTCATCATGAGTTAGAGTCAGCTTGATGGCTACTGGTACTGGCTTGTGTTTGGCTGGCCCCCTTGCTCTGGGGCAGATCGGGGGATTGGCATCTCTAAGAAGTCCTGGTGGCACAGTGCTTGGGTGCTAACCAAAAGGTTAATGGTTTGAAACCACCCAGCAGCTCTGCGGGAGAAAACCTGACCTGGCGATTTGCTTCCATAAAGATTACAGCCTAGAAAACCCTATGGGGCAATTCTGCTCTGTCACACGGGGTTACTGTGAATTGGAGTCGACTTGATGGCACACAACAACAGCAGTAATAAGTCTGCAGAATCATGCTGGAATGACCTAGGCTGGGGCCTCCGGGGCCTCTGAGCAGGTCACCCCTCTGCAGTGGCAGGGCTGACCCTCCTGCTCCTCCTCCTTGTACCCCTGCTCTTGGAGAAGCCTTCAAGGCCTCTGGTCTAAACTGGAACCCGTGACCAGACTGAGTGTTGGCCTGAGGTGAGGGCAGCTGGAAAGGAGACTGTTAACTGGGTTCAGAGCAGGAGCAGGGAGAGACAGCTGGAGGAGGAGCCCCGAAGGCCCAGGAAGTTGTCTCACCAGCATCTGGGCTGCACAGGCTCTTTCCCTGTGGGAGAGAGAAGGAGAAGCTGACTGATAACACGGGAGAGGTGTGTGTGTGTTGTATTTGGTGGAACAATGAGAGGTGTGTGTGTGTGTGTGTGTGTGTGTGTGTGTGTTGTATTTGGTGGAGTAGCCCTATCTGTCCTCCTGTCTCCTGGCCTCATTTTGCTGTGACTAACAGGAACGTTCTGCAGAGTGGCTATTAGGTTGAAACTCTGCAGCTCCCTCCTCTCCTAGGAGAGGCCATTAATGAGTTACCTTGTCTACAGACAGGAGGTTCTCATAGTTCCTCCTCCGCACGCCGATTAGAAGCAAAAGAACACAGGTGGCGAGTTGCCTGCAACTGAGAAGTTAGGTTGCAGTAGCTTCTCTCCTCCCCACAGAAGCATCTCTTCTCTTGCATCATTCCTGTGACTGCTGTCTTGGAGTTTGCAAAGTCCTTCACGTGCTTAACCTCATGTTCTCGACACAGAATTGTGTGAGATGGTGAAGACCCTGGGTTCAGGCAGGGGTTGTCCAGAGAACCTCTCAGCCCAGGTCTTCTCATGCTAAAGTCCACCCACGATGCTTGCGTTACTTTTAACAGCTCATTGCCTTTGAGTCAATTCTGACTCATAGCAATCCTGTAGGACAGAGTAGAACTGCTCCATAGGGTATCCAAGGCTGAAATCTTTATGGAAGCAGATTGCCACATCTTTCTCCTGCAAAGTGCCTGGTGGGTTCGAACCACTTTATTCAGTCAGCAGCCTAGTGCTTAACCACTGCACCATCAGGGCACCTCTTGCATTACTTACACCTGATCTATTTCTGTCTTAGACACATTTAAAAAAAAGTTATTTTATTAATTTTTAATTGAGATAATACAAATACCATAAAATTCACCATTTTAAAGTGTACAATGGTTTTTAGTATATTCACAAGGCTGTGCAACCACTGGAGCCCTGGTGGCATAGTAGTTAAGAGCTCAGGCTGCTAACTAAAAGGTCGGCAGTTCGAGTCCACTGCTGGTCCTTGGAAATCCTATGGGGCAGTTCTACTCTGTCCTATAGGGTCGCTATGAGTTGGAATCGACTTGATGGCAACGGGTTTGGTTTTTTAGTTTGGTGCAGCTATCACCACTATCTAATTCCAGAATATTTTATCACTGTAAGAAACCCTATGCCCCTTAGCCATCACCCCTCATCACCCTCCAGGGTACCCCCTTTCCCTGTTTCTTGGTGTAACCCTAGGTAACCACTAATCTACTTTCTGTCTCTATGTTACCTATTCTGGACCTTTCATTTGGATGGGGTCATATAATATGTAGCCTTTTTGTGTCTGCCTTCTTTCATTTAGCATCATGCTTTCAAGGTTCAGGTCCTTGGGTGGTACAGTTTGCTGTCGGCTCCTAATCTACAGAGTTAGTGGTTCCAACCTACCCAGTGGCACCATGGAAGAAAGAGCTGGTGATCCGTTTCTGAAAGGTCACAGCCTTGAAAACCCGATGTAGCACAGTTCTAGTCTGCACACGTGGGGTCGCCAAGAGTCAGAATCAACTCGATGGCAACTAACAGGGATATGCCATTGTTTGGATATGCCACATTTTGTCGGACATTTGGGTTGTTTCCACTGGACACATCTTTAATTACTTAAAGCATTATTTTTAAAAGAAAATTTTATTGTAGTGATATATATGTAACAAAACAATTGCCAGTTCAACCATATTTACACGTACAATTCAGTGACATTAATTACATTCACCCTGTTGTGCAACCATCACCGCTATTATTTTCCAAATTAAAGCATTATTTTTACTAAGTGCCAAAACGCATTGCTGTTGAGTCATTTCTGACTCATAGCGACCCTATAGGACAGGGTAGAACTGCCCTGTAGAAGTGGCATGGTAGCAACAGAAGTCATCTAACTTCAAGATGGAGAGAATCACTATCGTCAACATCAGTCCAAGGCTGATTCCTATAAAGCGGAGGTCAAACATGCTTTCACCCTCTGACCTTTTTACCAATTCTGACACCAGCTCTTCCTCCCAAGGCGCTCTCTGTTTCTCTGCTGGTTTGATAATTTGTTGCAGTGGCAACACAGAACTCAGGGACAATGCTCACAGTTATGGGGTTTATTAGGGAAGTTACAGGTTACAGTTCAGGACCAGGAACGACTCAGGATACAGTTCTTCGATCAGGACAGCGTCTTCTCACCCGTGCCCACAAGCACGCCTCTCTCTGGCCCTCACCCTCTTGGCCCCTCGGCCTGGCCTCTGCCTTGCTCGGGCAAGTGTTACAAAGCTTTTAGCTCTGCCAGTAAGTGCCTGAGGGACCCTGCCTCTGCCAGGAAGGCTGTTGCCCAGAGGCTCAGCTCTCTCGCTCTGTGGGTTGGCACACCCACTGTAACCACCTTGCTTCATGGGCTGGGAAGCCCATTGCACCATCTTGCACCAGTCTCCTGGTTCTGATGCCGCCGTTTCTCTGCCACCGCTTTTCACTGCCTTGTGCCATCTCCAGTGTTCTCTGTCTCCTGGATCTAGGAGGTTCTCAGCACAGGGACTCCGGGTCCAAAGGACACACTCTACTCTCATCTCTTGGTCGTGGTAATGAGGTCCTCCATTCTGCCTCTGGGATGGCTCATTTTAAGCCTAACGGGATGGCAAAACTGACCAGTCGCCTTGTTAAGGTTCCATACATCTTATTTGCATGGTCCCCCCCCCCAACAAGGGTGCCATGTGCCTTATTTGCACTATTAGCAAGCTGTCTAAACCCCTTGGTGGGCCACAGGCACCTTATTTGCATAGTGCCACCAAGTCATTTGGTGGGAGTTAGAAGACCATGGTGAGAAAGGCCGTATAAAAGTGATCCATCACACCGCATGCCCCATTGGGTTTCCAAGGCTGTAAATATTTACAGAAGTAGACTGCCACATCTTTCTCCTGCGGAGTGGCTGGTGGGTTCGAACCGCCGACCTTTTGGTTAGTAGCCAGTTTTTTAACCACTGCACAACCTGGACTCCTACTAAGTGCTAGTAACTCAATAAACAAAATAAAACTTGTTTGTCTTCAGGAAATGATTAGCATTAGGAGCTCAGCGAATGACGGAGGCTGGGATGTTTCTGGGAAGGTGAGGCTTTCTTCCAGGTGGGGTTGAGGCATGAAGCGAGATAGAATGGAAAGAGCCTGTGTGTAGAGCCAGGAGTCCTGGGTCCAGGCCCAACCCTGCATCTGGTCTGACCTTGGTCAGGTTGCCCTCTGTATCTCTGCTCCCATAGGAGAAGGGGATACGTTCCATGAGTGTGGCAAATGGCATGGGAAACCCAGGGAAGTCACCGCAGGAATAAAGCAACTCTTTCCTCTCTTCTTCTCCCTCTTAATTTTTCTTCTTCAGTCTTTAATGATCTTATTGATGTCATATTACTGTTAACCATCCCAGCTCCTTTGTGAGACTAGGCAGAGCACAGAAGAGATACAGCAATAATTTTCAGGAATGGATCATGACGTTATTTTTGACAAACATTTAAGGTGACTAATTTTCATGGGCGGATCTCCAGGTACTTTTTGGGGTTGGACCAGAGTTACTCAACCTCAGCACTGTTGATATTGAGGTGGAAAGTTCTCTTTTGTCAGGGGCTATCCTGTGCATTGGAGGATGCTTAGCAGCCTCTACCCACTAGATGCCAGTAGCAGCCCCCCAAAAATGTCTCCAGATATTGCCCAGAGTCCCCTGGGGGGCAGACTTACCCGCAGTTGGGAGCTACAGGGTTGGACCCAACATTCTTTTATAAGTTGTTGTGCGAGTTGTTTTGTTTATGCTTCACTTCAGGACCAGAGCTCATGACCCTGTAGCTGACAACTTTCCCGGGTTTTTCCACTTCCCCTTCAGAGTGGGGTAGGGAGAGTGGGAACTAATCCACCACCAGCTGGGTGCCTCCACATGATGCTATACGTACATTGTTGTTAGTTGGCATTTAGTCAGCTCCCACTCGCAGGGACCCCATGTGTGTTCAGAAGAACTGTATTCCATAAGGTTTTCAAGGCTGTAACCTTTTGGGAGCAGATCTCCAGGCCTTTATTTTGAGGCACCTCTGGGTGCATTTGAACTGCCAACCTTTTGGCTAGTAGTTGAGCGCTTAACCTTTTGCGCCACCCAGGGACTCCTATACCTACATCATCTTAACAAACTTCAGGGTCTCCAGGGCTCCCTGGTTACCCCTCCTTTGCTGGAATTGCCACCTCCTGGTATGTGTCCTTGCTGCCTAGGTCTCTGCGTGAGCTCCGTGCCCTTTTCCCATCGCCCTTGGCTTCTGTCTCATTTCTGTCCTCGGTCAGCCTTACATCTCTCGCAGCCATTGCTGCTTTCCAGGTTTCTCTTTCCCGCTCTGTGAATGCCTCTGTGTAACATACAAAACATGCCAAGTCCCAGTGACGCAGAGTTATTTGGGGTGTGTGTGTGTGTTTTCTTCTCATTTCAGTTTTCTCTCTGAAAGGAAAAATAATAAAGAAAAATCGCTATTGGGGCTTAAGTCGCAGTTACTTTTGGAGTCTAACCTCTTGGCCTTTTAGCTTTTAGAAAATATTAAATGTCCTTTACTTTCATTTATATAAATACAGCAGTCGTCTAGAAAGGTTTATATTAAACATTTAAGCCTTTTTGAGAGCCACCAAAAGCTCTTGAGAGCCACAGACAGTTGGATCCTGGCCGCTTTCCACGATGGCCGTCTTGTCTGGAATGGTTTTTTTTTTTTAAATCCATGTATTGGGACTTAAAATGGTGATGATCCCTTAGCCCTTGCCTGGCTTGTAGGAGAAAAATGGATTCTTTTAAAACAGTTCCCCCTCCCCTTAAAAAAGGAAAAAACAGGATAAGATCCAGAACAACTCTGGAAAGTTGAGACCTAAGGGATAGAAGAGTCTGTGAGTAACAATGCCAGATAGGAAATGTTAAGTCACAGGGATCAATTCCCTATACTGGGGCAGGAATGTGGGGAAACATTGGGGAATCTGGAAAGTCCTCCATGGAAATTACTCAGAGGAATAACAGACCAGGATTGGTAAGGAAAGGGCGTGGCTGCTTAGAAATAAGCAGGTCTCCTGGGCATCTTTATCTTTCTCAGGCACCAGAACAGAAAACATGACACTTGTGTCCTGGGGCTTCTTGTTAGTGGTGTCTGTGGTGTGACATTCTCTTTCTTTCTCTGTAGCTGGAGGCTGGCAGTGATGATGATCGAAAGTTAAACCTCAGGTAAGCAGACTTTAATTTTTTGTTCTTAAGTCTTTCTTCGTAGCAGGTAAGGAATACGCTTATTCCTTACTCCAAAGGAGAACATTCAAAAAGAATACACCCATGATTTAGTAGGGCTTTAAAAATTATATATAAACTAATTTGCTCTATAAACCTTTATCTAGAGCACAATAATAAAAAAAAATTATACGTATGTTTTACTATAAATAGACTTTAATCACATGTATCATTTGGAAAAGATGGAAAATAATTGCCTGTAATTCTACCACCCTTTCATTACCATTATGAGCATTTTTATATATTTTCTTCCAGATTTTACTTCTACTTTTTTAAAAATTTCTCTTATTTTTGTTGTTGTTGTTGAAAATAAACACAGCAGAGCATACACTGATTCAACGATTTCTCCGTGTACATTTCAGCGGTATTGATTACATTCTTTAAATTGTGTAACCATTCTCACCCCCCTTTCCCAAATTGTACCTCCCTATTAACATAAACTCACTACCCGCTGAGCTTCTTGTCTAACCTTTCAAGTTGCTGTTGTCAATTTTTTACTGTCGTAAAATATATATAACACAAAATTTGCCATTTTAACTATTTTGAAATGTGCAGTTCAGTGACTCCTTATTTTAAAAATAATCATACTGTGCCTTCACTAAGGAGCCCTGGTGGCATAGTGGTTAAGCCCTCGGCTGCTAACTGAAAGGTTGGTGGTTCAAACCCACCAGCCACTCTGTGGAGAAAGATGTGACAGTCTGTTTCCGTAAATATTTCAGCCTAGGGAACCCTATGGGGCAGTTCTACTTTGTCCTGTAGGGTCACTATGAGTGGGAATTGACTCAACGGCAGTGAGTTTTTGTTTTTTTTAATGCCTTCACTGTTTCATCCTGCTTTTGACAGTGTATGCCTTTTGAGGTAAGCACATCGCTGATTTGAAGCAGACATGTAGCCCCCCAGGTTTATCAGTTCAAGGTGTTTTTTTGTGTGTGTGCTTGTGAGAAATCTTTAGCTATGCTTATTTTTAAAATTCCTGAAGCTGTTGCCCTCGGTTGCTTTATTCACTAATAGACACCAAAGGCATTTTTTGTTTTCCTTTGTCAAAAAGAGTCCCTGGTGGCGCATATGATTAAGTGCTTGATTACTAATTGAAAGATTGGCAGTTTGAACCCACCAAAGGCATCTCGGAAGAAAGGCCTGGCAGTCTGCTTCTGTAAAGGTCACAGCCTTGAAAACCCTGTGGAGCACAGTTTTACTGTGCAACACATGGGGTTGCCATGAGTTGGAATTGACTCGAGGGCAACTGGTTTTGGTTGGTTTTCCCTTTGGGGCTTTTGCTGGCTTCCCAAAGATTCTGCACTTCTTTATAATTCGCCTGCCACAGGGCACCAGTCTTAAACTCCAACTCTCAGAGTTTAAAAAAAGTCAGCAGAGTTACAGGATATTGTTCTTTTACCAAAATGTCTGTTTCGTCTTGTGAGGAGGAGGAAAATTAATTGGAAAAGTATGTGTTCAGCAATGGTGGTCGACCATTCATTACCAAGAGCAGGACGTTGTCCTGGTTAAACGCCTACACAGAAGTGGTAGAAGTATTCTTAGCCTTTCTTTGAAGTTTCTGTGTGTTTGAGTGCAGGGAGGAACACATCCACTTTTACTGCGGCACATATTATTTCTAAAGATGATGTGAGTAGGGAAATAATAGCCTGTAAAAATCAAAGCAACATCTCAGTTCAGTTGCTGGATCACTGTTTTTAACGCTACCCTCAAGAGGAAGGCCAGTGATGGTGACAAATTTGCTCTTTGACCCTGGGGTTTTTAGTGGGTCAGGGCTTAGAGCTCCCTGCAGGCTGGCAACAGCCAGACTCCCCAGTAGGGGCAGTAATGGGCCGAGTTTCTAGAACAGACTCTGGGGGGCGGGGGAGCAGGAGGGGAGAAGGAGAAGTCTGCTCTGTGGAGACTATTTGTCGGAGGAGGCAGTGGAGGAGGAGGAACAGGGAGGGGGACTTGCTGACTACGGCATGGGGTCGTCGGCCTTCCCCGAGCTTCCCTCCAGCCTGACCTGAGGTAGGAATCCCATCCACCCCTCGACCGCATCCCTTTCTTTCGGGGCTCTTGCCCAGGAGATAGCATTTAGCTCTCTGACTTAGATTGTCTTTGGGGCAAAGAACTTTTTTTTTTCCCCCGGAGAGGAAACTAATTTTTAATATGCACTTATTATGTACTAGGTGCTTGTTAAAAATTAAAAATTTCCTCTCTGGAAAAAAAAATAGCCTTTAGTATGGGTTATACCTCAACATAAAGAAAACCAAAATCCTCACAACTGGACCAATAAGCAATATCATGATAAACGAAGAAAAGTTGTCAAGGATTTTCATTTTACTTGGATCCACAATCAACACCCATGGAAGCAGCAGTCAAGAAATCAAACAACCCATTGCACTGGGCAAATCTGCTGCAAAAGACCTCTTTAAAGTATTAAAAAGCAAAAATGTCACTTTGAGGACTAAGGTGCACCTGACCCAAGCCATGATGTTTTCAGTTGCCTTGTATGCATGCAAGGCTGGACAATGAATAAGGAAGACCGAAGAAGAATTGATGCATTTGAATTATGCTGTTGGTGAAGAATATCAAATATACCATGGACTGTTAGAAGAACAAACAAATCTGTCTTGGAAGAAGTACAGCCAGGATGTTCCTTAGAAGCAAGAATGGCACACCTGCGTCTCACATACTTTGGACATGTTATCAGGAGGGACCAATCGCTGGAGAAGGACATCATGCTTGGTGAAGTAGAGGGTCAGCGAGAAAGAGGACCCTCAACGAGATAGATTGACTCAGTGGCTACAGCAGTGGGCTCAAGCATAGTAACGATTGTGAGGATGGTGCAGGACCAGGCAGTGTTTCGTTCGGTTGTATGTAGGGTCGTTATGAGTTGGTACCGATCAACAGCACCTAACAACAAGATATGTACCAAGTAAGGAGCCCTGGTAGTACAATGGTAAGAGCTCGGCTGCTAGCCAAAAGGTTGGCAGTTCAAACCCACCAGCCACTTCATAGTAGAAAGACCTGGTGATCTGTTGCTGTAAAGATTCCCTGTTGCCTTCGAGCCAGTTCCGACTCAGCAACCCCATAGGACAAAGTAGAACTACCCCATAGAGTTTCCAAGGAGTGCCTGGTAGATTCAAACTGCCAGCCTTTTGGTTAGCAGCCATAGCACTTAACCACTACGCCACCAGGTTTCCCTATAAAGATTACAGCTTAGGAAACCCTATGGGGCAGTTCTGCTGTATCCGATAGGGTCACTGTGAGTCGGAACCAACTTAACGGCACATACCAACAACAACATCTATTAGATACTTCATATTTATATCTTTCCTCTCCTTTTTTTTTAAACTGTAGTAAATATATAGGTAAGAAAACATTTGCCATTTCTACAGTCTTCACATGTACAGTTTAGTGACATTAGTTATAGTCATGTTGTTTAACCATCACTGTTATTTCTTTTTTACTTCATCTTTATTAGCTGACACTATACCGTTTTGAGTTGTTTTCAATTAATAAGAACTTACAAATGGCAGTCATTGGAAAGTGCATATGTGGCCCTTATGGCTAATAAAAGGCCTCTCTCAATTCATAGTTTGGGGCTACAGGGAACCTTAAAAAGGGAAGGAAAGTAATACTTCTTGGCTACCACTGTATGGCAGCCTTGCATATTGCCATATTTCATCATCACAACAAACCTACGAAGGAATGTTTTCCTAGGTTACGTGAGAAACCTGAGGCTCAAGGTCATACATACCCTTTACCGTCAAGTTGATTCTGACTCATAGTGACCCTGTAGGACAGAGTAGAACTGCCCCATAGGGTTTCCAAGGCTGTAATCTTTACAGAAACTGACTGCCACATCTTCTTCTACAGAGTGGGCTGGTGGGTTTGAACTGCCGACCTTTCAGTTAGCAGCCAAATGCTTAACTACTGTGCCACCAGGGCTCCTTAGATTGTACATAAAAAATCCATTGCCGTCGAATTGATTGCCTTATAGCAACCACAAAGGACACAGTAGAACTACCCCATAGGGTTTCCAAGGAGCAGCTGGTGGATTCAAACTGCCGACCTTTTGGTTAGCAGCTGAGCGCTTAACCATTGTGCCACCCAGGGCTCCAGGTTTTACCCAGGAGCTACTATATTCACACCAAAGCCTGTGTTGCCTCTGACACTCAAGTTCATCACCCCATGTTGCCTTGCTGGAGACCACTTTAATTGTACAGTCGAGTCAGCCCTCTGGGACATACAGGTTAGAGAACTTGCCTAAGGTTACCTAAGTGGTTAGAGGATGTGCCAGGGCCGGAACTGAGGACTCCTGCTAACTTGGGGTGGATGCCTTCCAGGATGTCAAATGACTCTCACCACTGTTAGTCCCTCTTTGCCGCTCTCAGCAGTTCCCAGATGCCATTGTGACTACTGGGAGACCCTGGGCTGGAGTCGGGACCGGGTTCTTGTTCCAGGTGTGATGTTGGGTTCTGAGCTTGTCATTCCAGGTTCTCTTTTAAGTCTGTCTTCACTCACCTTGATATTTCACTCCCTTTCTCTGCCCCCATGCTCTTTATTAGGCAAAGGACCAGTAAGCCAGTTGCCCTGAGTCGTTTTTGACACAAGGTGACCCCATAAGTATCAGAGTAAAACTGTGCTGTATAGGGTTTTCAATGACTGATTTTTTGAAAGTAAATAGCCAGAACTTTCTTCTGAGGTGCCTCTGGGCAGACTCTAACCTCCAACCTTTCAGTTAGCAGCCAAGCGTACTAACCGTTTGCACCACGCAGGGACTCCAGGCAAAGGACACCATCCTGCTTTCTAACTGTTCCAGCCAAACAAGAAAAGCTCGTGTGTCCTGATGTAAACTTTTACTGAAACTCGTTCACATTTGTGCGTTAATTTGCATTTTCAGGCCTTTGCTCTGTAAACCTCTCCTAGAGGAGAATTTTATGGAATAGTGAATTATTTTT